ATGGGGTTTATTACCATCCCTTTGTGGGTTTTGGGGGGGGGGGGCCCGGCCCGGGTCCGGGGTTGAAGGGGGATTTGCCTTCCCCCCGGCGGGGATTGTCCCGATTTGAAGTTGGGGGTTTGATTGGGGGTGGACCCCCGCGGAAAAGGCCGGTTTATTTTTTTTACGGGGGGTGCCGGGGGTTTTGCTTTCCCTAAATCCACCGCTTTTGGGCCGTAAGTGTTTAGCCTTCGGCTTGGGAATTTGGTTTTATACCCCCCTTTTTGCCAGGGGGGGGGGGGGGGTTATATGGTTTTTTTGTATAGGGAAATAGGGGGGGGGGGGGGGGGGGGGAGGAGGTATGAAGTATCGCGCTTGGCCGCAATAGACCTTGGTGCACTACCTAGAAAAGCGGCGAGCACGTCGAAGTTCCGCCGATAGGCAGGGAAGGGCTACAAAAGGACGAACCTGGTTGATTGTGTTCGGTATTCAGCGCGAAGCGATCATTTGCTCTACTATTACCTTGAGAACAATACAAGCCAACGAATTTTCCGATGAGAGCTTTTGCCAAGCCAAGTTCTCCTGCCGAAAACAAACAACGAGCGATGTGTTCGCTGGCCGACGTTTTTTTATCCATCCTCGTATGTAAGGCCTCTTGCATCTGAGTCTGAGGTTGGCTGAGCAGACCAACACAGGCAGAGAGGGCCGGGCCACGCGGAGCAGCGGTAGCGGCAAAACAACAGACGTGTAGTTTCTACAAACAAAAAAATAAATAAAAGAGATACACAAACAAGGGTACCACACGCCGTAAGGAAGTGCATACAAAAGAAGAGTCAAGCCACACGACCACCGTAGACAGCGGTAAGGGGGGCAGCACTTGAAGGCACCAGGGAGGTGCGTCAACCAAAAGAGACTGCTGTCTTGGAACACCCCGCCCCTTTCGCGCACGGCCCCAGCTTCACCGCCATGCGTTGATTTCTGCATGCATATCTCCAACATTTGCGTGCGTGTATGTCCCAAACATTATTCGCATGCGTGGTTTCTGAATCTACAAGAATCATCGTAGAACCAAGTACAACGTGAGCGCCAACCCGAAGGGGAGCCACTGGGCCAGAAAGCCGGAGACTGACACGTAGCGGCCGGCGAAGAATATCCACAAGCAAAGCGACACCATGTTCCACGACTCTACGCCCGCGTACCGCATCCTCTTGAGCGCCAGCGCGACGTGGGAGTGGCAGTTGTCGCAGCATAGGTTGTGCATGCGCTTGCTGCACGGTGCACAAGCGGGCGTGTTGGAGCACGGCGGGACACGCGAGCGGGGGGAGGCGGGGCAAATGCGATGTGGGGGCCAGCTGAATACCTGTCTTTCTACCACTATCGCTGCCACATCTGGTTTGGTTCTTCGGTGTGCGCCTGGCGGCGGAGCTGCGGGACGCCTCCACGTGCAATCCTTCCCATGTTCAAGCTATACGCCGAGCGTTGCCAGTTCGTCGGCGACAGCATCTGCGGAGGGGTTCCCGCATCTGCCTTTGGGTGAAAAGCTAAAAAAAATCCTGACCGGGTGACCCATCAACGGCCTAGCTCTTACACCAGACCCACTGACTTTCCCACAACCGCTTCCGTAACTGCAACTACGACGCTGCTGCATCTTCGACTCGGTCTGTACCACCGTGGGTTAGAGCGCGCTGTGACTCTCAGTGATACACCCCGGCGTTATTGCTGAGTCCAGCAACAAAAAGGAGGCAGTTCCTTCCCCCGAGTTTCAGGCACCACCGGTGCTTCGGCGTGAGCCCCACCTTAGCCACGTTCACCTCACCCGCTTCCGTGTTGAAGCCAGCTCGCGCGCGCACAAGATACAGCGCACGAGCCTTTGCGCATATATATATATTTCTTTTTGTCATCACTTCGGATCATCAGAGCTTACAGCATTCGTGCCGCATACTCCAACCCGTGGTCACACGGAAGGGTCCCTCTCCCTGAGGCCCCCCCTACCCACCCCTCCTGCATTATCTCACATACAGTAGGGGGGCCGATATAAGGCCGCATGAACAAGGCCACCTGCCCCGATATAAGGCCGGTCTAATGTCGTGGCACTATGCGGCTTTCTAATCTCGTATTTAGCACAAAACGGCCTTATATCGGGCCCCCTACTTGCTGTACATTAAACCTACTGTAGAGAGATTTCCCTCGACCACAACTCTGGCGTACCTGTAGGTCTCGCAAGAATGAGCGACTGATTCGTCCCATTGCTCCCCCTTGCAGCGACCCGGATCGAGCGGGAGGTAGCGGGTGGGCCGCCCGAACGCCATGTGGTCCTCCCCGATGGTGTACGGCCCGGCGAAGTCGTAAATCACTCCGCGGGAGTCCGCGATGCCCATGTGTCCTGGAAGCGGAGGCATGCCATCAAGCTCATTGGTCACGTCATCGTCTGCCGACCTTGCGCATTAGTCAACCGGTTAGGCAGCGTGTTTATGCATAGTTGTGCGGCCAGCTAGCTCCGCCATCTTGCGGTTGTAGATCCGGCCAACGCCATGCCCTTGGGAACTGTGTGGTTGTACCTTAAGTGCTCCAGTTATGTACATGTAGCATTCGGCACAGCTGTTTGCGGCCTCTTGCGTATGTATCCAGGAGCGAGACGGCAGAGACTACAGATAGGATTATGGGAGCAGGCAGGGTAGGCCGATAGGAGCTATAACCCGCCGGTAGACCATTCACGCAGCAACAGCAGTGCAACCGCTGTTATCTGCAGTTGCGGCATCACTTGACGGACACTTCGACGTAAAAGTTGCTGCTTGTTCTCTGCAGAAAGGTAAATAAACTCAGCGGTTGCAGCACCACTGCTGTCATAGTTTCACGTGCATAATCTGAAGGTACGGGCCGCTCTTTTCCACGGGTGGGGATCACATTGCCTTGTGGTGGGCATTCGCGCTATGTGCTATGCATACAGCGGTGAAACGCGCACGTGTGCTGCACCGAACCTCACCTATTAGCGGGATAAACCAAGTGATGAGGGGGAGGGGCGTCCAGACGATGCAGTAGGGATATCTCGACCGCGCCTTGTCTATATCCCTGTCGACGACGACCCCCGCCCCGGCTGACTCCATCATATTGGCCTGGTCTCCCTGCTGTACGTCCGGGCGGGCCAAATTATCCATCCCCCACCGACGGAAGAACGATTTGCGCAAGCAGCGGTGCATCGCCGGCTCGCCGGCTCCCTCTTGCGCCGAAAAAGGAGATGGGTACAACACGCCTCCTTGAGTTTTTTATGGGTCATTTTGTGGGTCACATCGCCGCCACATCCGTCAACATCCGTCCAAGGACCCGCTACCTCCTGCCTCCCACCACCATGCTAGTCTGTGGGACCTCGACCCGTGTAGTAGTGTTCGTGGTGGCTGCCGTTTCGGCACTAGCGCCTCGGAAGCTTCATCAGGCGGGAGCTTTCTGCTCCTCGTTTGCACCCTGGACGAGACTGTGAGTTCTGTCTCTCCGTGTAGCCAGCACACCAGCAGAGGGAGTTTGCGGACGGGTCTTTGATTTTGGTCTTGGAAGTCGGGAGCAAGTTCGGAATCAAGGCCTGAATTTGGTTTCACAACTGAGTGCGAAGACCGAACTGCCTCTCTCTCCCTGGTCTTATTTTGGACGTTTTCCAACAAGTCACACCATGTGACGTCACGTACGTGGCCGTTTGCCCTGTACGTTCTGCTCACTGCTCACGTGTCGCCCGTGCAGCACTACTACCAATGGCAACATTGGCTGTCAAACAAGCCTCCTTCTACCGTGAGCCATGGAACTGAAGATCTCTATTGATTGCACGCTTGCTACGGTTGGCTCATCTATCTCGCCCAAATAATTTCGAAAAAAGCACCGCACTGCTGTATGCCTCGCCCTTTGCTCTGCTGTTACATACAACGCTTTTTTGCTGGCTTCTGTGACAATTTAATATTATGGGCACACACGTCACATTACCCTCTCACTCAGGTCACGCGCGCCGACCGCCGCGGAACCCTTTGTGAACGCACCTCCTCTACGCTTTTTGCTTCGATATCTGTTTTTCCGGTGGTAGGCTGGCCCTGACAGATGTATGCGTAGCATGCTGCGCAACGCGTGAGCTTTTTTACTTTTTTTTATGCTGAATATGACCCAACGTTTCCATCTCTATCTAAGAAAAGAATCTTAAGATAGATTAGCAATGAATTCATAGCGTCAGAGAAAGCTACCAGTATTTTCCGAGCGGTGTGTGCCGTCCGTCATCGTGTTTGAAAAAGTCCAACCGCCATCGCCAGAGCGTGCGTGTTATGAGGTGATGTCCAACGAGCAACATGAGTGTGTGCAAACAGACCTCTTCGTACCCCCCACCTGCCGCTCTTGTGTTCTGCGACGTGTTGGGGTTCCCTCTGGCGCACACAAGGTTTCTTGTGTCGTAAAGCATCCTCCTCATGAAGCCCATGGGGTATCACACGGAGCGCCCGCCCGGTCAACGAAGTTTCTCAGAAACTGTTCCTAGAAAGACCAACATTTTCGCCGCGTACCGAGTACGCTTCACCCCACCCCTGGTTTCCTCGTAAAGATAAAACGTGACTGCTGTCCAGCGATAACAAACCAACTCGCACAAAAGTGGCTTTGCTTGAAGGTCTGAATCAATGGTCAACCTCATTGTTGCTGCCTACTCCGGAGGTCGGAGGTATTGCAGCTACTGCCGCTAGGGTTAAATGCCGTCCTCGGAGATCACGAGAGCAGCCAAGATGCATAGCGCCCCTGACCACAACAACAAGCCGGTCCTCCGTTTCTTAAGCGGCAAGAAACACTCGTTGTCTGTACTGCAGCTTCTTGTCCGTGGCCGCGTGAATGGACACAAAGTGCAGACCAGGGAACCAGGGTCCCAGGGGTAGACATCTCGACCACACCGTCGACACGAGTTCGTTGCGTTCGCCAATTCTTGGGTTTTCTCTTCATGCTACACTTTTCGAAGGAGACCACGATCAACGACTTGGAGCTGTTCCGTGCTTCGGTCGAGCAATGGGCCAGGGGGAGAAGAAGACGGCGCCGATTCGACGGATTCGGGGGCAGCCGAAGACCCGGATAACTTGCTGGGGGGGCAAGCCCTACAGGTGAGCAGCCCGCGTTATTTTGTTCCATGGCCTCTGTGGTTCATCACGTGGAAGATCAATCGTGGATGATACTCTACGCTGGAAGAGGTACTACCCATCGCGTCACCCCCCCGCCCCTTTTCATTGGCAGATTTGTGTTGAGTTCCCCTTCGTGCCCACACGTACTCATTATGTATTCACTTGGCTCGGGACTCTCAAAATTGAATGGCCAGATCGCATGGCGCAGCAGCGAACTGCCACACTGTGTCTGCGTTTGCTCAAACCCCAAGTCGTATCGTTTCCCACAACGACAACACTGCTGCCCGCTTTGGACCAACCAAAACCCCATGAACACATAATTTCACTGTGAACCTTCGCATACTACATACCGTGGTCGACTGTCGTGCACGCTTGCAGAGTCAGAGGAAATGCTACTACACTCTCGAGCCCGGGATGATAACGTTCGAAATGATGATGGTGGCACCCCGCTAACACGGAAACCGGACCCGCCGTGCACTCCGTCGACCGACCCCGTCGTTCGTGGGTCTCCCGCTGTTTCTGTACCGCTTAGGCGTTGGAGTTCTGGAAGAACAGAACGCCTAGCCCGGCGTTGCCGCCGACCCAAGTAATCGGCCTGCTCATGGCCGCTCTCCAGAGGAACGACGATCCCGCGGAGAACGAAGGGCTGAGGACAGTGAGTGGCGTTTTAGAGCAGGCAGACGGGGGTTGGTAGCGGAGTGGGCCCCGGATTTTTCGGACGAGGTCATTGAGAATGCCCTTTCTGGTTGCCACACGATGTTGGAAACAGCTACAAGCGCAGTAGTGTCTCAACAGCAATAGCTGGCGTGCAGGCGGACAGCGCAACGTTTCCCCCCGCGTATGGGTTTTAGCGGCTTGGTGGCTGCACCTAATACGAAGCACACCGCCGTTGTGACTGCCTGGATTTTTCACCAATCAGTGGTGCCTCCCCTTGCGCTTAACTTCGTCCGTTGATCTCGGCCCCGTGCGTCGACCAAGGTGTTCGAATTTTCGTCGGGGATGTGCCGCAGGGCTGTCGGGGGCACCGCGGAGAGCTTCATCAAAGAAGCACGGTACTCGGTAAGTTTTGTCGGACGGCGTAGGTGGGGTGATCTGGTCTAGTCCCGATTCGCGGGGCGTCGTAGGAGGGTGGGGTGCTACCCGAGTTGAAACCTTTGTTTAAGAAAAGGAAGTTCTGTACCTGCAACGAATTCTGCGCGGGAAAGCACCCCGTGTCTGGCGGTGAACTTTTCCAATGGTCGAGCTGAGTAGGCTGTTTTTCCCGGAACTCGCGATTTAGCGCAACGGGTAGGCGTCCGGTTGTCACCGCGTGTCCAACCAAAATAGTTTGTCATCCGCAATGTACCTCGTGATACGGTTGTCGTGTTGCAGACGCATGCGTCGCTCCGTGACTATTCGAACGCCACACTCTGCCCGGACTATTCTTCTTTCCCTTTTTCCACGCGGGTTCGGAGGTTATTTCTCGGTGTTACTCTCTGTCTCTCTTTCTCTCGCTCTCTCTCTCCCCACCCCTCTCTGTCTCTGTCTATCTGTGTGGGCATGTGTGTGTGTCTCTCTCTCTCTCTCTCTCTCTCTCTCTCTGTCTGTCTGTCTCTTGTTCTCCCTCCCATCTCTGAGTATTTTCTCGTGTCTCCACCTTTTCTCCCGTCGCGCTTGTATCCTCTGTGTTCCTTTTCACCCACGTTGCCACCCGGCTCAATTGGCACAGGTCTTTGGGGCAACCGTAGGCTGTCAGTCCTTCACGTTGGAGCCGATGAGCATGGTGGGCGACCGCCTTGCAACGCAGGTGCGGACTACCTACAGTTGCCCCCCATGAGAACCACGACGCCTTGTTTATTGTAGCTCTCTCAAGGACTCCCGTTCTCATCGAAATCGAGGGAACTACATCGGCGTTGACGCCGCGGGAAAAATGGGTGGAGAGTATGTGTCACCGGCACAGGATTCTGGCGCTAGCCGGCACGTCGTGTGCATGTTTACTCCCATCAAGCCCTTGGGAAAACTTTACTTCCGGCCTCGAACTGCTGTGTTTGTGCGCGAGTTGCGCCGTAACCGAGGCAGAGAGAGTCAAACATTTTTCGCCACGGTTTGTGAGATTTTCGCTTATATTCGAAGCCGGTGCGGAGGACTTCGAGCCGAGCCGGAGCCGGGCTGCTGTGGAGACGTTTTCAGCGCAGCTGGCAGCAAGCGTGTCGTTCAGCAGACGTTTTCAGCGAATAGCGCACGTGCACCATCAAGACCCCCCCCCCTCCCCCGGTCATGCTAGACGGAGAATTGTCTAAGTTCTTCGACATTGAGCAGGGGGTCCCACAAGGTTGCACGCTGTCCCCAACATTGTTCCAGGTGTTCATCAACGATCTGTTGGAAGTCGTAGAGGCAGTCCGGAAGGGAGTAAAAGTAGGGGACACGGAAACTTCGGTGTCAGGAATTCTGTTTGCGGATGATTTTGTTGGTATGTCGGACACCCCTGAGGGACTGCAACTACAAATTGACGCGGCGAAGAAGTTTACTGATAAATGGAGATTGTCTGCCAACGTTAAGAAGAGTGCCGTCATGGTATGCAACGAGGACAGGGAGGAACCAGTAGAACATAGATGGAAGTGGGGGATCGAGGAGATTGCAGTAGTGGACCAGTACAAATACCTCGGAGTAGAGATCGCAAACGACTGCTCGTGGAATGCACACATGTCCAAGGTAGCGGAAAAGGGCAAAGCACGAGCAGGGAAGATGCACCCAATACTCGCAAACCGGCACCTCGATACACGCATCAAATTGGCGGTTTTGAAGAGCGTAATCGTACCGCCGCTAGAGTACGCCGGAGAAGTATGGGAAGGAAATAAGAAGGTAGTGAAAGAACTCGAGGCGGCGCAGATGAAAGCAGCGAAAATCATCCTAGGATGCTCCAAGCGCACAAGTAATGCGGCCATAAGGGCAGAATTGGGGATCCAATCCCTACGGTCGGGAAGAGACGCAAGGAAGCTGACATAGCAGTATCGCATGTGCGGGATGGGAGAGGAGAGGTTGCCGAGAATAGTATGGGAGGCGAAGTGGGCAACCAAAAATAGGGGTAGACAACCCACGGAATGGGTCAAGGTTGTAGAGGACGTATGGAAGGGGTTACACATCGACGAAGATGAAACGCTGGAAGCGGAGGGTCTACAGGGGTTCAAGGAGAAGATATCTGTAGCTTGTGCCGAGAGAGAAGAACAGAATCTAAGGAAAGAAACCAAGGATAAGGAGGGTCTAGAAGTGTACGGAATGTTGAAAGAAGGAATAGGGTTCAAGGATTACCTACTTGGACCAATGGATGCAGGGACAAAGCTTAAGGTCAAATTCAGGACCGGGGGCATAGGCCTTAGAGAACGTCGACGAAGACATAGGACGGCAGACGACGAAGACGACAAGTTCAAATGTGATTGCGGTTTCGAATGCGAAGACCGTGTTCATGTAGTCGCGGAATGTCCGTGGTACGAAGAGGAGAGGGAAGTGTACATGACTGAGCTGGGAAAAATACAAGGGACGTACAGGGAGATGTTTGAGGCATGGAATAGAGAGGAGGGGACGGTAGCTGTACTGGGGAGTAGGCAGTGGTTTGAAAAGGCGGGAAGGGATATCGTTAGGATAGACAGACTAGGGAAGACATTTTTGAGCCACCTTTGGCAAACTAGGAAGGGACGATTGACCATCGGTGATCGGACCTGTGGGAACAATGCTCCGTCCTCTCGAGGACGCGTGGTCAATAGTCTAACCGCTAAGGCAAGCAAAACATAAGAGTACGCCCCCCCCCCCGGTGTTGGTCATCGGGGTTGGGTTTTCGTCGCTTGGCAACGACGTTGTAAAACAAGCCCCCCCCTCGGTGTTTGCCATCGGGATTGGGTGTTCGTCGCTTGGCATCGACGTTGTAAAACAAGCCAATTCACTTCGTGAACTCGGCAACCAGGTTACCGTGTGTTTGTTTTACCTCTTTTCTTTTTTTTGCGGTAACCATAATGGTGGTCGAGTAGATCATGTTGTGCGGGGTCGAGAACCCTTACTCCGCGCAACGGGGGATGATCGCACCACGTTGTGTTAAAATGGTCAAGCGTCCTCGAGGCAGTTACACCGTGCTTACAACTGTCTCTGGAAGTGAAAGCACCAGAAAATAAATTAAGTCATACGCAGCTGTCATCCGTACGCAAGGAAGTAAGCACAAGATGCCGAACACCCTTAGCAGGATGCAGCTCACCCTTCATGCGACTCGCCAAATACCTCACGGCGCTTCGCGCTTGGTGATGTGAGAGCCTGGTCCGGTGAGAACCCGGCGTGCTCCGTCCCGGCTTTGTAGGGATGCGAGGTAAATGGTCTAACGACTACGGCATGCACGACTATGAGTACACCCCCCCCCCCCCGTTATCGGTCCTGTGGGAACAACGCTCCGTCTTCTCGTGGTTAATGGTCTAACCGCTAAGGCATGCAACCCCCCCCCCGGTTATGTGTGAATGCGGTGCCCCCCTCAGGTGGTGAGCGTGGTTGCCTCCGACGGAAGGCAGAAGAGGTTTCTGTGGACCCTCGAGCGTCAACGACGCCCGCCGGACACAGGGAAGTGGCTGATCTACGGGGTTGTCAGCTCAGACGTCGACGGAAAGCTGGTGATGGAAGGCTAGGCCTTGTCGCCATATTGCCTAGGTTGCCTTGGCTTAGCTCCTCCTGGCGGTTTGAGCCCGTGGGCGTTTTTGAGACCGCTGGGGCAATGATAGATGTTCTCAAAATGCGTGGAATGATTTAGTGAGACCTCTTGACTCTACAGGGGGACACGCGTAGGAGTTACGGCGTTTGTATGGTATGCGTCAGATCGGTTTCGCTTGACTTGCATCTCACGTTGAGGAGTGCGTTCGCGGTGGCGCTGGACACAGCGGTGCCCCCTGAGTGCTGCCGCCTACCGTGGGTAGAAGACCAAGAATCTCCGTTGAGATATGTATATCCAGGAATGATCCGAATTACCGTCAACAGCAGCAAGAACAATTAATCCATGTAGAAGCTTCGCACGGGATGGTAGGATATGTTATGGTAAATACTTTTGAGAGTGGCAGTGGTTGAGTCAAGAAGGCTTTTTCCGTTTTGTCTGAGGTGGGGTGTGACGGATCGCTCCCGACCGTTACAGTACTCTCTCGTCATGCAACGTGCGAGATAGGTGTACGCTTGGTACACAGAGCTACCGTAACGCCCGACGATATGCAAGCAACAACTCATCAATTTTCATCTCTCGTCTACATGCTTTGCACCAGGCTTTTATTTTTATATCGATAATACACATTTGTTTGTATTTGCACTCCGCATCTGCCTGACCTACTGAGAGGACGGCGGTGGTCGAAGCCAGCCACACACATTATGGGCTTGTTCGGATACACATCAACCAAGCATGAGTCAACACGTTCTTGGACTCAAACCGATGGGTTTGTCTCCCTACTCTTGTTTTGCTTTCTTCAATCAAAGTTTACTTTCTTCGCAGTTTCAATGTATTTCGTGGCTGGGTGTGTTTCAAACCAGCTGGGAGGAAAATCGACAGATGGATCTGCTGTGTGAGTACAATTCCCGCGTTTTACGCCTCTCTCATCTCATATCATCTCATTCTCTCTCTCTGTCCCTCTGCAGTCGAAACTGCGTGAAAAAAAACTCAACTGGTACTTCATTACTTCATATGGAGTGCCTTGCTGCTGCTGGCCTCTGTGCTGGTTGTTGATGATGAAGAATTCTTTATTGTAGGTATATCCGCAAAGTAGGAGAGGTCATTACGGTGAGTTATGAGCTGGTGGGCACGGCCAATAAGAGCGGAAAACACTTTTTACTCGAACATGTTTGGCCACTTGCTGGGCCGTTCCACTGGATGGAGTGTATTCAATCGTGGTGACGTTTACATACTTCCTAACTCCCGTGATGACAGGAAAATGCGTGTAGCAACAGGGGGGAGGGGGGGGGCAATGGTAATATTACATGTCTAATAGTAGAGGGAGACCTCGAGTAGAAAATTGGGTTCCGTTCCCTCTTGTTGTGTCCCGGGTACTCAATACACAATGTGCTGTTTCTGCACCGTTACTCTATCATCGGGGTGTGGTTGGGGGTGGCCAATTGTTGTTTCCACCCGGCGAGGTAGAATACGCGGTTGGTTTCCGACCTGAAACGCTGAAAGGCTACTGGTAAGTTTTTGTCTTCAAAGATAAATAATCGTTCGTTCCGGTCTCCGTTCAGTACCTTCTAATACCCGTACTGGTCCAACTGACGCGGACGGTCTAGACTAGTAGATCTATGGGAGGAGTAACTGGCGCTGTTGTCCCTCAAAATCTCCACGAAACTAGTGCCGAAACGTTTGTTGGCACTTTGTTTGGCGCTCACTCTTCGATGATTCCGCGCACACAGCGGTTTTCGGTAGAACGGGGAACATAATTCGACAGAAGAAACGAAACTCGGCAAATCTCGAAAATGAAACTCGGCGAATCTCGATTCACCTCGATCAAAAACATTAGTTTCACTTGGTATGTGGAACGAAAGGCGATGATTTCTCAAGGAACAGGTCGTCATTGATGGTTTGAAGTTTGAAACGACATTTCTTTCTCGTTTTCTTTCGTCCCAAAGTAAGGTGCTGCGCCGGCCGGCCAGCCCTCGGGCCTTTCTCCCTCGTCACACCGCAAGAGACATGAACAACTCATCTTATTTATCCAGATTCTGCACGAATGGAGAGGCGCGTGTGCGCTGTCGTAACGTCGCAAAGTTGATTTTCTCGCCGGCTTTTTGCGCCCGCCCTTGCCATCGTCTCTGAGGTGTCTTTTGGCCATTTTCGCCGTTTCATTTTGCCGATTTACGCCGCCTGCGAAAGGCAAAATAAAAAAAGAAGGCCTTCCAGCTCTCTCTGCAACATATTCGTGTTTTTTTTTTTTATGACTCATCTGTGGCGCCACGCCCCAAAAAACTCACCGCGCGGCCTAAATCTTCAACCCACTCAGGGACCGGAACACTCATTCAACACGTCCCAGCTGACAATAGCCGGACGCTGCGTGGCACAAGGCAGAAATCTCTCCCGCACTTACACACACCGGCCCTTCTAGCTTGCTATACTATCGAGTGAAGGTAGAGACGCGACAATCTGGTGTCGAGAGCACCATCATGCGTGCATCAGCGACTTGCCTGGCCGCTGCCCTTATCGGCGGCAGCCTAGCTCCTGGAAGTGAAGGCCTCGTGTTTCGCGCACAGGCCCGCGCCAGAGGCGGCGCCACCGCCGGGAGACAGCGGGGTTCCTTCTGCAGTGGGGTTGAGTGCCCCACTGTGGGTAAGAGCGTGGGTGCTCTTGGCAGGGGGGGGCAGATGTTGATGTCAGCAGCAGCTGCTGGAGAGCAGGAGGCGGCCGCAGCAGGGAAGCTGCCGTGGCTAGACAGCACCATGCCCCGGGAGCTGCCGGACGAGATATCGGCAGAGAACCCTTTGAGAGTCGTGATCGCGGGGGGGGGAGTGGGGGGTCTTCTGACGGCCAAGTACTTGAAGATGCAGGGTTACGATGTGAGTTTGCATCGTGTTTTTTCTTGCTCAACAACCATGATACACATGTTCGGCGCGCGGTGTTGTTGTTGGAGAGGCGTGACACATACTCTTGTGTCCTCCTTCATGTGTCCTCCTTGCTTCAAGACTACGGTACGCCCGGAGAGCAGACACACGACATGTTGTTTGTGCGCCGTGGTTATGCCAACGCGTCTATTTTCCGAACCGTAGCGCGTGGGACGCCAAAGCTCCGACAACAACAGTACTTTGTCCACTAGGGCTATTGTACGCATACATCCGTCCGTCCGTCCGTGGTTCGTTGGACAGCTTGGAGCGGCAGATAAAAAGGAACACTTGCATACTTTGAGACCTACTGCTGTGCGGCACATCGCATCCGAAGTGCAGTACTTAGCGTGCTTTTTCAAATTTCCACACGCCGTGATGAGCACCACCAAACTCGCACTCGAGCCAATGGCGACAAGTTTTGGAGAATTAATCAGCCCATGGCGTCCACGATGACGAGGTCGGTCTTGGCCGCTGGTGGTAATGTCATATGCATAGCAACCGCTTTGACACTGCTGTATACCACAGCTCGACAAGGCGCGAAAGCTTTTTCCTTTTTCTGAACCACAACTAACTCGATGAGGTCACATGATAAGTCAGGTGCCTCCCCGGGTGCGATCGCTCCTGGTGGAGCGGTGGTCAACGCTGAATAGCGTGGGAATTCGTTTATTTGGCCCCCAAGACTCTCTCTCTCTCTCTCGCTCTCGTTCCCCCTTCAATCGCCCTTGAGGATAAACAAACGCGGTCGGCCCCAGCTTGAGTGAACACAGCACAAGACAGCGGTTTCCTACATGCTGTCTTCATAGCAGCAGGTTGTAGCCTTGCAGATAATCAGGTTGAAATGTGTGCGGCGGGGTAATGGACTATGTACAGTAGTTACCGTCCAAAACACACGGCCGTCTGTGTCATTCGGCGGTAACCCCCCCCCCCACATAGAAAAGCCGAGCTACAAACAAGCGATGAGGCATGTGCACAGCAGTAGTATCGCACAACGGTGCACGAGCAGCGGGCACCTGTGGTATACACGTCCTCTGTAGGTTGCCAAGTTCAATGAGTGTTGCACCCGTCCGTGTTAATTTTCTTCTCCTTGACCACCCCTTCCCCGCATACAACAAACTCGGCTCGTACATATGTGTCCATCGGCGCGTCCAAGACAGCAGTAGCCTTTGCAAGTTTGTTGTATTCAGCGGACATTATTATTTGCAAAAATAAATACACACACAGAAAGACTGTTGTACCCGTTCGAGATATACCCACACTCGAACGGGATGTGGTGGAGTCTTTACAGCAGTGAGTGGAGAACAAACAGGCTGGGTACTGTTGTATGGTACAGTATAGCATACAATCGGGGAAGTTGGGTTAGGGTTAGGGTCAGGGAATACGGTCTGCGTCCCCCCTCCCTGTTCTGTTTCCTCATAAACTTATGGATCGCGCGAAGTTGGTCCGTCCAAGACCTAGTAGCCTTGTACAGCCGTTCTTCGCGTGGGTGGGTCTACACGCAACAGCAAGTTGACTTGGCTTCCAATTAGCGAACGTTTTTTCTACACGCAACAACAGAATACGTACCAAAGGCAATCACGACAGCAACAGCAGCAGTCGCCTCAGCCGCAGCATTCTGACCCACAGCACCGAAAGACATGACGTAGGTTGCATGAGATAGATGGTTGACACCCCCTGGACGACCGAGTTGTTAAGCTGGACTCATGCACGACGAAGCGGAGGAGTATGGAACAGCAGCCAACTGATGCATTTGTCGAAAAGGTATCGACGAACACCGCCCTTTTCGGCGTCGTCGCTGCTGTGTTTGCTGCAAAGTACACGGGCTTTGAAAAACGTCCCAAGGGGGTGTCGTATTCTCCGTGTCCTACGGTACTCTTCGTGTGCTGTGCCCTTTGCAGGGGGTGGGAGTGGGGACTATTTGCAGGACACGGGTTCTCTGAGGGGGTTGCAGTCGCTGGCATGCTCGTGGGGCTACGCTACAAGAACCGAAGCAAAAAAAACTCGCATAAAACCGAGAACCTGCCATCTCCTTGCTGAAATGTGTCGTCTCCGATCCTCCCGACAAAAAAGTAAACGCCGCAGCACATTTCAGACAAGAGCAGCGGCGGTGGTGCGCTCCCCTTCCCGAGTGCGCTGGGTCCGAACTACCATAGATGACTCAAGATATCACACCCCCTGGACCGATCTTGATTGCTCCACAGCAGAAAGAGGTAGAACCGTCCCGTCGAGAACTTTTACTTTTCCGAAACCTTGTCTTTCTATTCGCGGCATCCTCTTCGTCGTGGAGTACGCGAGCTTTGGAAATCGGCCCAGGGGTGTTGATGTCGTATGCCACCTGCGGTAGCGGACACAGCAAAATCGCCACGCGTCTGCCGCTGCCGCACGTGTGGGGCTTAGTCTCGGATGTGCACACATCAGCAGCGGAGTTCGTTTGTTTTTTTCTGCTGAGCAGCAGCAGAACTACAAGTACATGCGTGAAACAGTCCGAAGTGATGCTACAAGAGGCGTGTGTTCGCGTTTTTTTTTTTGTCCCGCTATGGGAATGCCGCGTTCCCATTACTCCAGCCGGTTAGCGCGATTTCAATGTCATTTTTTATAAATCACGCCCACGATACCCGCTTCGTGTGCGCGCACGCGCTCAGAGGCAAGCCAAACTAATGAAGCGAAGTTCTTCCCACACCCGCGTGGGTACCAGTACCAGTGAACGAGCTAATGTTTTGTACCTCATGTAAAATTTATACAAGTGCATATGCAAGTGTTTTTGTGATATTCATTCAGTGTGCGTAGGCTTTGAGTAGACTCAAGATATGCCCCAAGTATCCAGCGTTTTATTCTCCCACCCACTGCAAAGACTTTGACAGACCTCTTCCTTCGACTACTGCTGGGGTATTGTATCGAACGGTAGTCTCTCCGTGATTTACCTAAGCTTTCTTAAAAAGGCAGTGGAAGACGGGCCGTCCGCGCAAAAACGCACGTGGGTCCATGCGAACCCTCACGCCCGCGCACAGGACGCCCTCCCCCTGAAGGATTTTATGTTTCGTCTATGAAATAGACAGGGGTGTGTGGTATCCCTAACCCTTAACCCCTTACTAAAACCAAGATGTATCCTCGCGAAGGGTACTGGCTCCCTCCCCCCCCCAACTAGTCACGGCGGCACCCCCGTGCCCGAAATATTGTCGCGAAGGCTACTCCCCCCCCCCCCCTTGGTGTTTGCCATCGGGATTGGGTTTTCGTCGCTTGGCAACGACGTTGTAAAACAAGCCAGTTCACTTCGTGAACTCGGCAACCAGGTTACCTGGTTTTTTTTTACCTCTGTTTTTTTTTTTGGCGGTAACCGTAATGGTGGTCGAGTAGATCATGTTGTGCGGGGTCGAGAACCCTCACTCCGCGCAAGGGGGATGATCGCACCACGTTGTGTTAAAATGATCAAGCATCCTCGAGGCAGTTACACAGTGCTTACAACTGTCTCCGGAAGTGAAAGCACCAGAAAATAAATTAAGTCATACGCAGCTGTCATCCGTACGCAAGGAAGTAAGCACAAGATGCCGAACACCCTTAGCAGGATGCAGCTCACCCTTCATGCGACTCGCCAAATACCTCACGGCGCTTCGCGCTTGGTGATGTGAGAGCCTGGTCCGGTGAGAACCCGGCGTGCTCCGTCCCGGCTTTGTAGGGATGCGAGGTAAATGGTCTAACGACTACGGGCGATTTTTTACTGGCGGCGCCTGGAAAAAAAAGAAGAAAAAAAAAGGAAGAAAGTCTAGTCTCTCGACGACCACGACGTCGATTCACAAGTGGGTTGCCGCACATGATGCAGAATAAGCAGGAACTGACCTGGATGTGTCTGCGCTCTGAATGACTGTCCCCTTTTGTCCACTCTCGGGTGCTGTTTTGCAGCGCGCAAGCAGCACTAGTAAAAAAAAAACGTCTTCATGTGCCTGTCTATCTATCACTGCTGTAGTAGCGTTTCAACACAAAGCACGCCATCGTTCTCAATTGACAACAGGAGGCCAGCGGTAGCACCACAGCGGTGATTCGAGCAACCAACATGTGGAGAGAGGTGGTGCCGCCTTGAGATAGATCCGCGCCTGTGATGATGTGTGCAGTGAAAGATCTCGCCTGTAATTCTGCTGCTGCTGCTGCTGCTGCTGCTGTCCACATGAATGAATTCTCAACGGCAAAAATCGAGCATCAGATACCATCTCTGATCTGCCTGATCTCTGTCTCACCCGGTTGTTCAGCACCACGCCAGACCACCATACACAAAAGAACAGCAGCAGTTGCTAGAGTATACTATGGTGCCACTGCGTCAGTGCGCCAACCGTTTGCATACATTGTTTGTTTGCGTCTGACCATCATGCATCATCAAGCCGCTTCTTTCCTACAGCTACATACAGCAGCAGCAGCAGAGCAGTAGCTGTCTGTGTGCTTGCGGCAAAGCAGAAGCAGCAGCAGCAGCGAGGGCGTGTTGCTTCCGTGTCCCACACACTCCTCCGCCTTCTCTGTGTGCTATGTGCTGTGTGCTGTGTATGCTGTGTCTGCTGTGTGTTGCCAAGATCGCAGGTGATGTGTGCCCCTCCTGTGCCCCTTTTCAAACGTGTCCCGTCACCGACGGCAGCCAAAGTACCAGTCTATTTCTAGTACAAAAAACATGTGTCCCGCTACCGACGGGAGGCTCCGACAGTAAGAAATCGCCTCTCCCTACGGCATGGACGACTATGAGTACACCCCCCCCCCCTCCCCCCCCCAACTAATCACGGCGGCACCTCCGTGCCCGAAATATTCTCGCGAAGGCTATTGCCCCCCCCCGCCCCCCCCGACTAATCACGGCGGCGCCCCCGTCCTCGAAAACTCTTGGTCGTGCAGGTTAAGGTGATCGAAAAGACGAACGCCTTCCGGAGATTCGGAGGCCCCATCCAGCTCGCGTCCAACGCCCTGTCCACGATCAAGGCCATCGACTCGACGTTCTTCAACAAAATAATGGAGTACTTCACCTTCACCGGGATCCGCACGAACGGCATCAAGGACGGCATCCGGACGGAGTGGTGCGTTTGGGTGTCTTGTCTGTTGTCAATTTGCGCGTGCATTTTTGTTCGAGTTGGGCGCCATATCAGTACCGTGTGAGACATTTCTTGATCATGGTGAATTTTTCTGGCCGGTGTTGCTGGCGTTCCTGTGGACCTCTCTCCGACACGGCGAGTTGGACGCGGTGACTCAAGGCATTGCTTCATTGTGGAAGTGCCGTGTTCTGGCCTGGTGTTGCTACATAACGTATCTTGTATGTAGCTCGTTCAGGTACTGCAACTTCGACGCCACCATTGCTTAATCATGGTGTACCTTTTTGCTGGCCTGATGTTGGTAACGATTTCTCATGTGTACCTCGTTCAGGCACTGCAAGTTCGACGCCACGATAGCTTCATCATGATGTACCTTTTTCTGGCCTGATGTTGGCAACGTTGCTCGTATGTATGTACCTCGTTCAGGTACTGCAAGTTCGACGCCACGATAGCTTCATCATGATGTACCTTTTTCTGGCTTGATGTTGGCAACGTTTTCTCGTACATATGTACCTCGTTCAGGTACTGAAAGTTCGACGCCACCTCTGCTTAATCATGGCGTACCTTTTTCTGGCTTGATGATGGTAACATTTTCTTGCACGTACGTACCCCGCGTTCAGGTACTGCAAGTTCGACGCCATCACTCAGATGGCCGACATGTACTCCTTGCCGTACACGGGAGTTATCGACAGGCCGGATCTGCAGGTAGGACGAGGCGGCGCTGGATGGATAAAGCCATAAGTTGACCGGGTGTCGCGACGCATAGACTATGTAGGATTGTCCCGACAGCGTGCTGTTGTGGGTTGGTTAAGACACCGCACCTCCCTAGGCCGAATTTTCAGACCTCGATTATTACTCTGGAGCGATACTAGTAACGTGGCTGCGTTGGAAAGGCGTCATCGAGAGCTTTCCGAAAACGAATAATCGTTTGATTGCGGCAATTTTCGAGAGCTTCCCGAAAACGAATCATGGTTTGATTGCGCCACTCTCTTGGTCGTGGAGTAATAGAGCTTTGAAAATCGGTCCAGGGGGTGGGCTATCTTACGCAACCTGAAGGAGGCGAGGGAGGCGTCGTAAAAATCCTATTTATAGGGCTAGGGTTCATGAGAAGAGGCGTTTTCCCATCAGAGTTGTATACACGGTTGCTCGTGACTCATAACGTCTCACCTGGGACTGCGGTGACTTCTTTTTCTTGCCCCTCTTGTCCTCTTTTACTTCCTTCTCGTGTGGCCATGTCGGTTGGACTAGTATCTGGAAGGCACTCGCGTAAAGGTCGCAATGTTTTTTCTCATTCCTTTTTTTTAACAATGCTGACGACAACGGCAACAATAACAACAGCACAACAACAGATACTACAAGGACAAGATATCAACAACAACATGAGCATACCAACAACGCCTAACCAACACGCCACTTACCACGCCGCGACACGTGTTTGTCCTCTCTGTTTTGTTTGTTTGCAGGCTGTCCTGATGGAGGACATCGGGGAAGGGGTTGTGTTCAACAGCCAGACGGTCGTCGGCTTCGAAAACACTGACGGGTACGTGGGAATTGCCGTACCGTATCACTGACGGGTATGCTCGGTAGCGGTCAGTCTTGTTGACAGTTTTTTTGTTCGTGTGCTAGTGCTCTGGATTCGTTGCTAATTTATCCTGGACCCTTCCTCTGTGCGTGGAGAGAAAATGGGTTCGTTGTGAAGTGAAGAAGAAAAGGGGGGGGCGGCGTGTCTGGGTCCGACCCCCGTACGCGGGTATTCCGTACCGTAACACTGACGGGTATGCTTGGAAGTCGTTGGTTGGCGGTGTTTTTTTTTTTTTTGTTCCGTGTTGAGGAAGGGGGCGACGTGACTGATTCCGACCCCCGTACGCGGGTATTCCGCACCGTAACCCGTTTGAGTAAAAGGAGGCGCCTTCCGTCATAACAAAGGACACTGAGGCCAGTACGGGAAGACCCTTGCGAACGTAGTGTTCTAGCGAAAAAGGAAAAAAAGTCAGTTGTTGCAGGGAAGCATTTTCCTCGGCATGGCAGTGTTTTTTTCGTTTTTCCCCCACGTGGTTTTCTTCCCCCCCCCCCCGCCCGCCGTACGCATACCAACCTCACGCCGACGGTCACCGTATGAATTTGTTGTTTGCATCCAGGGGGGTAACGGTGAAGCTGAAGGACGGGGGGGAGGTGCACGCCGACGTGCTTGTGGGAGCGGACGGCATCTGGTCCCAGGCAAGAGAAGGGGGCCTGCCGTCTGTGGCTCCTCGTCTCCCCCGCGTGGACACACGGAGATGATTGATACCTGTAGGCAAAGCAGGCGTTTGTTCTGTGCACATGCGTTTTGCCATCCGCATCCGCGTATTGCATGCCATGCTAGTCAAGCGTCACGCAGCGTTTTTTTTTACAGTGGGCCTTCCGCGGCCCCGCGTCTACCCGCGTAGACAACAAAATAATGCAAAGCTCATGACGCACGCAGCGTCGTAGTTGTACAAGTATGTACGTGCGGTTTGCTGTCCACGTATTGTACGCTACAGCACGCCGCCATCACGTATGTTGTATGTGCATGCGTTTTGCCATCGGCGAGGTGCGTCATGCATTCAGTCAACGACGGCGTTTCTTCCAGGCTCGTAAAAAAAAACAAAAACATCACCTCCCGTGCCCCCGTGTCGCTTCTTCGGCCGTCCTTTTTTCACAACAAACCCATTTCAATCCATCTGGACGAAAAAGAGCAAGAGTGTCTAAGATGGAACATACAGCATTTTTTTTTATCTGTCCCAGGTCCGCACGTCCAGGAGATTTTTGATTTTTTTTTTTTTTCCGTCCCAGGTCTCATATCCATTGGTAAAAGTCCAGGAGATTTTTGCAAATTGATCGTTTTTTTTTTTGTTCCGTCCCAGGTCTCTATCCATTGGTAAAAAGTCCAGGAGATATTTGCAAATTGATCGTTTTTTGTTTTTTTTTCCGTCCCAGGTCCGCGCACAGATGTGGAACGAGGACGTGAGGGGAGAGAACGGAGGCGCGACGTACTCGGGATACACGGTGTTCGCCGGGGAGACGATTTACGCGCCGAAGGACTACTGGGACGTCGGGTACAAGGTGGGAGACGCACCCGAGAAAGAAGAAGAGAATCGTAGATGTCGTAGATGGGGACTGCTTTGGGACACGCCTGAAGATTGCCTGGAAGATCGACGTGCCTATATCACGCATGGCGAAGTAGACACGCAACCATGCTTGGTTCGCGAAAGACGAGTCTCCACGACGCAAGATAACACACCCCCTGGATTGATTTTTTCAAATCTCGATTTATCAACAGCAGAAAGAGTCACAGCGCCGAGAACGGCGGCGTTGAAGCCGTCCGGTCGAGAGCTCTCCGAAAACGTATCGTTCCGGTCGTGCATCCTCTTCTTCGTGGAGCAACCGAGCTTTGAAAATCGCTCCCGGGGGTGTCTTATCTCGTGTCGCATACGGCGTGCTCCGCCTGCCCGAGATGACCACGAAGTGTTGCTTGCACCTTTAACGTGGGCGGGCGTTTTCACCAACAACGACCATCTGGCCAGCGCCGGGGAGCGTCCGCCGTGCACGTGGAAGAACCTAGAGTGGTCGAGGCATCGTGGTTCGATCCTTACACACAGCCTTTGCGCATGGGATGTGTGCAAGGGTCAAACGAAGGACGCATGTTGCCTCGCCCACTATTCTACCGCCGGCACAGCTGGCGCTCCCCGGCGCTGGCCCGATGGGCGTTGCCCGACGGGACGCTTAGCGGGTTTACCGTCTGCGTTTTTTGGGACGGCAGCGGTGGGGTAGACGGTGCGGAACGGGTCCTGCCGCTGACTGCTGTGGATGGTTCCAGACGCGCCGTGCACGATCGAACGCTTCTTGGAATGATTTAACGGGCTGTTATTTGTTGTTGTCTTCACATCATGAAACCGTTCCGACATGTTTACCCAGGACCTTCATCCGTCCGAACTTGAGTGTCCACCCTGTAATTTTCAATTTCGTATTTGGAGCGTGAAGGCAGTCGTACTGCGTGGAGAGCTCAATGACCGTAGCCTCGTGGAAGAACGGCCTCACGGCTGTAATTTACGACTCACCCTGCGACAAGGGCTACTGTCATGCTGCTCCATGCAATATGACTGCCTTCACGCTCCATGTTCGTAAATTACAGCCTGGATACCAAATCGTTACGAGAGAACACCAATAATGGGTGAACGAGTAATCACTTCAGTTCGCATCATTGACTGTAAAGTAGTATGCGCTAGGCCACACTCATCGCGCTCGTAACCCCGCTCCCCGCCTCCAATTTTTGTTTTTCACCAGGCTGACTGGTACACTCATCGAGCTTGTAACCCCCCCGCCCCACCCCCCCAATTTCTGCTTTTCTTTGCGGCCTATCTCTTTTCTTCGGGCTGGCAGGTTTACATCGGCCCCGGGCAGTACTTCGTGACCTCGGACATCGGACGCGGTCGAATGCAGTGGTACGCCTTCTTGGCCCTCCCCCCGGGCTCCAAGAGCCGTGAGGACAACATCAAGTACCTCAAGGATGTGAGGCTTTGTTTGGATGTATTGTATACCGTTATATGTACTTTTTTTTTATGGTACTGTTGTACATGTGATGGTAGTGGCATCGTCTTAATTTGTTTGTACGAGCCTTGAGGACAACATCAAGTACACCTCAAGGATGTCAGCCTTCGTCTTTTTGATACATACAATGTATGCACTGGTTTATGGCACATATGCATACGATAGTGTAGCGGGTTTGATTTTTTTTTTTTTTGCGATGGAAGTCCTCTGGTAGATGTGTTTTCATGGTGGTATGATAGTAGTGGACTAGTCTTTCTTTTTTTAGGATGGGAGTGTTCTTGGTTCTCGCTTTGGGGGTTTTGTGTTTCTTGACGTGAGGTGGCTTATCTTCATATTGGATACTGCTATACGTCTAGACTATGCTGTGTTCTTTTTTAGGGTGGGAGCCTTCTTCCTGTCGTGTTTTTTTTTTTGTGTGTGTTTTGGCTCTTCTGCTGACGTGTCCTCTCCGAATCCAACAATTACAGGATTGCCTAGGGAAAGAAAACATTTTTTTTTAACGAAAATAGACCAGGCAGGTGGTACGCAGACCCAACCCCAACCCCAACTTAGCCGATTCTGTACTTTATCCAGTATCTTTGCCTACCTGAAAAATTCCTGCTTAGACTACTGCAGTTGCATGAGTACACCCCTTCCCCCCTGCCTTGTGGTCGTTTATCCTGCGTAGACTACCGCAATTACACGAGTACCCCCCCCCCCCCCTCGCCTTGTGGGCGAGGTCCAATGGTCTTAACGACTACGGCATGCATGACTATGAGTACACCCCCCGCCCCCCCTTCGCCTTGTGGTTTCGTGGGGATTTCAGCATTTCGTTGGGTGGAGCCCGGAGATCCACGAGGCGCTCGACTGCACCAGCAACAACGACGTCGAGCAGAGAGACTTGTACGACAGGCCCCCTTCGGTGAGATGGTTTTCATACGAGACAAGACGCGTTTTTGGGTAGGGGGGGGGGGGGGGGGGGG